GTCCGCAGACAACACAGTCAGGAGCAGGAATGTGGAGGAGTGAGTGCAGTGTCTGAAAACAAACTGCGCGCTTCTTCTCTCTCCCCCTTCACTCTCTGTAACACTCTTAAAGGTACAAAACTTATTATTATTCAACATAAACAGAATGAGACAATTGGGGATAAAAGCATCATATAGTCAACCCAGGACACAGGGGTCCCCAGGATGCGCCACCCCCTGAACTGGTTTCATCCAGGTCATTCCCAGAACAAGATTCTCCCTGGACAAGACCCCCCTGGATGTGCCCCCCCAGGACAGAAACCCCTCTTTTCTCATCTGACTCTCAGCACAAATGGTCTCTTCCTGCTTGTCCCGAAAAAGGAAAATTAAAGTGTTGAGGGAGCACAAGCAGACATTCCCCAAAGCCTCCCCACCCTTCCCTGCACCCCTCACACCCCATTTTTCCCATCCCCTGTGTGCCCCCAACCTGTTCTCTGCTCAGGTGCTCCCCAGGATTGCTGAGCCAGGAACTGGGGCTGAGGGGACCTGGCACAAAAGTGAGAAAAATAAGGGAAATAGAGAAATAAAGAGAGGAAAATGTCAAGGGCAGGGGAGGGACAGAGTTAGAGCTATCCAGAACCCCCATGTGATGCTTGCCCAGAAAACAAGCAGCACAGGGGGAAAAGCTGGGCCCCGGGTCACCCCAAAACCTGAGGCACCCAGGGAAGGGCTGTGACCCCCGTGCCCCTCCAGCCACTGCCCATCCCTTGCACCCCCATTCCCCTGGGAACTCAACCATGGGACCCCATTTCTTTCAATCGCCCCTTCCCTGGAGCCCCCAATCCCTGGACTGTATTTCCCCAGGATCTCCAACCCCAAGGAACCCCATCCTGATTAATTCCAGTCCTTGGGATCTCCCTTCTCTTGGGGACATTGATTCCCCTAGGACCCCCATTCTCACAGAGCCCCAATTCTCACAGGGCCCTCCTTTCCCCTGACACCCTCATCCCTTGGCCACCACCCCATGATCACAAATCCCTGGAGGGCAAGTTGTTCTTGGACCCTCATTCCTGAATATGAGTCCACCCAACACTTGGGGCTTCAATCTCCATAGGTTCCCATCCTGGTAATTCCAGATCCGGGGACACCCCTTGCCTTGGGGACATTGATTCCCCCAGGACCCCCATTCTCACAGGGCCCCCTTTAACCCTGGCACCCCCATCCTTGGCCAGCATCCCACGATCAGAAATCCCTGGGGGCCTCGCATTGTTCATAGACCCTCATCCCCTCGTCTGAGTCTACCTAACACTTGGGACCCCATCCCTGGGCACTCCAATCCCCTGGACACCCACCCCTGGCTCCCTAAATAGCCTCAGCCTCCAAATTCTGGCAACACCATGTCCCCACCATGTCCCACCATCACCCCCATGTCTCACAAGTTCCCCCCCCTGCCCCCATCCTGTCCCTGCCCTGCCCCCACCAAGGGCCACCTACACATGGGGACAGACGTGACCTCACTTCCTTCCCCTTCATCTGAAGATCCACCACCCAGGGGAGCGGTGGCCACAGCAGCGAGTGACAGCCAGTGCACATGGCTGGGGACACCAGGATGGGCGGGAAGGTGGCGCTGCTCCTGTGGGGTGAGTGCCCCGGGCACAGGCCTGACACTCCGGGGATGAGCCGTGGTGAGGTAGATAGAGACTGGTGGGGAGGGGACAGAGGGGGGCTACAGGGTCCCCTGAAGTCCCCCATGCCAGGAGAGTCAATGCATGAGGTGACCAGGGTCGTGGGGAGGCTTTAGGGACAGGAGAGGGGGTTAAGGAGCATGGGGACAATAAAAGGGGGATGGAATTTGGGGAGGCATCATGGGACTGGTGAAGGTGTGGGGACATGAACAGGGTGCCAGGGGTCCAGGACAGGAATTAGGGGAAAAGCACCATGCAGATGGGCCCTGGGTACAGAGACCATGGAACTGGTGGGGGTGACCTCTGCTGGCATGGGATGGTCCTGGCATTCCCATTCCCAGGGTGCCCATTGTGTCCCTGTGTCCTGCCTCAGCCTAAGGTGGCCTTGGAGCCCCAGTTCCTGAGAGGTCCGTGCCACTCTGGTGTCCCCACAGGACAAATCTGGGGATGATGCCAAAACCCAAGCTCTGGGTTCTGCTGTACCGACAGTCACCCCCACTGAGCCCTGTCCCTTCTCCCTTCCAGCCCAGACCCTCAGCTTCGCTGGTGAGTCCTCGGGGGATGCCATGGCCCCACCCTGCTGTCCCCAGCCCCACGCTGCCCTTGGCAGGCTGGTGTCCCCTATCACCCACAGGTGCCCAGACCACCCAGCTCCTGGTGGAGCCCCCATGGAGGCCGGCGGCGCTGTGGGACCGGGTGACACTGACCTGCCAGGGCTCGGGGACTGCCGGTGCCACCACCTGGTACAAGGACGGGCAGCGTTGGTGGCAGGAGGGACCTGACCGCCTCACTGTCACTGAGAATGGCACTTACGAGTGTAACAGAACCGGCACTGGGCTCAGCCTCCCCATGAGAGTCTTGGATGGTAAGGGAGTTGAGTGTCCCCAGCCTGGCACCTGCGGGGACCCCGAGGGCTCTGGGTGGGCTCCCCTCCATGGGTCACCTCCTGTGTGACAAGAGCACATCCCCTGCATATGGGGACATCCCAAAGCATGCCAGTGTGGAGGGGCCCCTGTATTGGAATTGGGGACCCCTAGTGTGCTGGCTGCGACCCAATGTGGGGGTCGCTATTGGGTGGTGCCTTCAGGACCCTCCAAGCCCTCCTGATGTGACAGGACCTACTTGTTCCCCAGACTGGCTGGTGCTGCAAGTGCCAGCAAGGCCACTGCTGGAGGGGGACAGGGTGACAGTGCGCTGCCGGGACCGGTGGAACAACCTGGTGACCTGGGTGTCCTTCTACCGTGAGGAGAAGCAGCTGGTGGAGCTCCGAAATGGGACAGAGCTGACCCTGTTCCCTCTGCAGCCGCACCATAGTGGGCGCTACCACTGCAGGGGCTGGCTGAAAGACAGGCAGTGGGTGGTGTCTTCACCGGTGACAGTGACAGTGCATGGTGAGAACCCCACAGCCCCTCCCCAAGGACTTGGGGTCACTGTCCCCACTGCCTCCAATCTCCTGCCCTGAGCTGCTCCTTGTGCAGGTGGTGGAGGGTCCCGCTGAGCCATCCTTCAGCTCCCCCTGACTCTCAGCTGCCTCAGCACCCCCAGCCCCCTGTGGCCCCGAGCCCCCCTCCTGCACGTGTTCTACAAGGACAGGCAGGTGGTAGGGGGCCCGCAGGGGTCCCCACAGCTGCTGGTGCCCGCCGTGGGGATCTCCCACTCAGGGAATTACAGCTGCCAGGTGGGCTCCAAGGGTGGGGCCGTGCAGAAGAGCAGTGCCCAGCTTTGCATCACGGTGTGCAGTGAATGCAGGGATGGGCACAGGGAGCCCCCACATCCTCCTAGGGTCCCCTGCCTGGGCACCTGCATGTCCCCCAGACACCTTTCTTGGGTCCTTCCACCACTCCCCTTGCCTGCACACATCCATGTCCCCACTATCCCCGATCACACTCATCCCCTCCTGTCCCTATCCCCCCACACTGGCTGCCAGCCCCTCCCTGTGGCCTCAGCCTTGTCTCTGTCCCCACAGTGCCTGTGGCCAATGCCACCATCACCCCATGTCCTCTGGCACATGAGGTGCGTGCTGGTGACAACGTGACCCTGCGCTGCTCAGTGCAGGTGGGCTCAGCCCCTGTCACCTTCACCTGGCTGCACAACGGGCAGGAGGTGGCTCAGAGTCCCCTCTTGGAGCTCAGGGACATCGATGTAGGACATTCAGGCACCTACCAGTGCGTGGCCACCAACCAGCTGGGACAGGACGGGCACCATGTGTTCCAGGCACCCAGCCCCGAGCTTGTCCTGGAGGTGACACCGTGGGGACAAAGGGTCACAGGTGGGGTCACATGGGGTCACCAGGGAGTACAGGACACCTGGGGTGATGGGTGATCCTGATGTGTCCCCCTCTGTTTCTTGCAGTGGCTGCAGGGGTCGGTGGGGCCCTTTTGTTCCTGCTCGTGCTCGTGGGTGCCATTGTGGCCTGGCATTGGTGGCACCGTGTGGGTGGGTGACAATGGGGGGATGGGGGTCCCAGGGAGCTGTAGAGGCTCCCAGATTTGGGGAGCAATAGGGCAGCACCCACAGCCCCAGAATTGTGACCTTTCCCAGGGGTCCTGTAGGGTTTGGGGAGGTGCTGGAGTGTCCTGCAGGGATGCTGGGGTTTCTTTCATGGGCCCTGGGGGCTTTTGGAGGGTCTCTGTTCCTGCTGGCCTTTGGGTTCTTGAGGCTAAGTCGTCCTGGGACACTGGAGAGGTTCATGAATTCTGAGGGGCTTCAGGGATGCTTGAGGATCCTGAGAGAAAATGAGGGTCGCAGGGGGGTACAGGGTTCCTTAGAGGGATCTGGGCCCTGGGACCTCACAGTCACCCCTCCCCTCTTTTTTGCAGCTGCCAGGAAGCAACAAGAAAGGTTAGTGGGGCTCTCCAGCCATGAGTCCCCTATTACCCCACCCCACAACTCTCCAGCCTCTTCCACTCATTGTCTTAATCCCCACAGGGCTCCCCCAGATCCAACAGCACCCCCCAAGGCGGGGAGGGTTCCATACACCCACGTTATGAGCAGCAAACAGGCACGGTGTGAGTACAGTGATGGGGGGGACAGTGACACGTCACCCACTTGTGTCAACTCCCACCTTGGTCCCTACAACTGGTGTCTTTTGCAGGGTCCCCCAATGTCACTGTCCCCCAGGATCCCCAGGAAACCTACGTGGAGCTGTGGGGATCCCAGGGACAACCATGGGAACCCGGTGACATCTACGGGAATGTGCTGTGACACTGGGGGGAACTGGGGGGCACTGGGGGACCCACCCATGGGCACCCACTTGTGTGTGTGCTGCCACTAAAAACTGTCCCTCCCCCTACCCGTGGAGGCACAAAGACCCCAAAAGGCTGAGAGAAGAACAATTTCCTGAAACAGCAACGAGAAAGAATAAAACCAACAGCAACAGAAACAAGGTTCACAGTCCCAAGGGTAGGAAGGAGGAATCCTAGGAAGGTGGAAGAAACCTGCTGGGGAGAGTTTTGAGGCTTTGTTTGTTGAGGACAGGGACCTGGACCTTCCTTGCTCTGATGGCCAAAGTGGCCTTCAAGAGTCTCTGGATTCTCGTGTCCCTGTCCCAAACCCCTACTCTGCAATGTTCCCCACACGAGGATGTCACAAAGGCCCTGTGGGGGGTCCAGAGCTTCCCCTTTTCCAGGGCAGTCAGGATTAGGCTATGGCACAGGGTGGGGGTGTCAGCAACAAGAAAAGTTTTATGTCTGAAGACATTTTGGAACACCTGTGTATGGCAGGGGTGGGCCAGGCCTTGCTTTTGCTGAGACAGGACCCTGTCTGTCCATGAGTCTGTCAGCCATTGTACACTGGGGGCAGTGTGATGCTCTGCTAAAGCCAACTCCTGAGTGGCTGGGTAACCAGAAATGCCAGCTGGGGAGAGCACTTTTGGTGACCCAACTGGCTTAAAAGGCAGAGCATGAGGTGGCCAAGTCCCTGACCATGTGTCCTCTGGGAGTGTCTGTCCTATCCACGCTGAAACCCAGGAGTTGTTAAGCATCTTGGTATGCGGGAGAAATATCTGCCAAGGAAAGTGGAAACCTTTCTAGAATAAGAAGACCAAACTCTAAAAGCATTTTTATTTCAAAAATGATGGGGCATCCATGCAAAAGGGTAGGAAAAGGAATAAACATTCTTTATGAGGAAATTTATAAAAAAGAACAGAACAAACAATACAAAACCAGAACATTTCCTTCTTCTCAGTGCTCTTTGTTCATCTTTGGTGCAGTTCTAACTGCGGCCAGCAGGGGGCGCTGCAGGGAGCACTCCCGCCCAGCAGGGGGCGCCCCGGTCCAGCTCCATCCCCTCAGGGGCCATGGCGGCCTCGGACAGGAGGGAGGAGGGGAAATCACTCCTTTTGCAAACTCACGGGCACCAATCAGTCCCGGCACCACCACCGGCAGCGGGCAGAAGCCACCAACGCAGCAGGTTGGATCCCAGTGCCCCCTGGACGTGTAGCAGTGTCCCGGGGCCAGGCACATGCCCTGCACAACACCCATGACCACTCTCCATGATCCCAAATGGAAGGAAGGCAGAACCTGACTCCAGGCAGGTTGCAGGTCCACAGCAGCACCTCTGGTGGCTTCATGCCAGAATTCCTGCAAGTTCGCAGCCTTTCGCTCCCTTTTCCTCTTTCAGCCTGGGCACAGCAACTCTGGGAATGTTGAATTCCTCTGGGATGTTGAGGAGCTCAGGGGACTGCAGAACATTTTTGGAGTCCCTGCTCTTCCTGGCCACTCCTGGTCCCAACACAAAAGCCACAGGGGGATGAGAAGGAGGAAGAAGAGAGCAGAGCCAGAGCCCCGAGGGCTCTGCAGCAGTAGCTGGAGCACAGGGACAGCCTGGGATGGGAGCAGTGCCTTGGGACGGCAAAATGGGGCACAACTGGATCTGATTAGGCCAATGCTCCTGTTCTGCTCTGGGTGCTGCAGACCCTTAAGGAGGCATTGTAATTAGGGCCAGGGTTCCTAAAGTTCAGCCATGTAATAGACGAATCGACCAAATTTAAGAATTGTACCATAATCTTAATTATGCAAGCAAGAATAAGCAAGATTCAGCGCTGGGCTGCCAGGAGACTTCGCTCCCTTAGGCCCACACCTCCCCCCTTTTGAGTTTGCTTTTTATTGTCCTTTTTTCAGATTCTTGGATGACGTGGTCTGTTTTCTGTGCGTGCTCCTCCTGTTGCTAGGGGTCTTTTTTCTGCCTTCTGGTGGTCGTGGGATGAAGGCCCCAAGTCTTCCTCTTTGGCCACATTCCTTATAAGGCATACCTATAAGTCTAATTTTTTTTAAGCTCATCATTCTTGCAAGGTTAATAATTGTTACCATATGTGTTTCAGAAAGTCTCCTACATCTATAGGGTAGAATTTTTGCAGAGCAAGCAATTCTACAAGGTTAGTAATTATTTCCAGATGTGGCTGTATCCAGTTATCAAGGGGGGGGGGTTGTAACTTAAACACTTCTTATAAGTTTCCCATACAGCCCTATAGATATTCTACAAAAGCTATTTTAGCTATTGTTTTTTTAATTTAAATCATCATCTAGCTATTAATGAACAAATATATTGTTACTTATTACAAGCCGTGCTCCTAAAGCATCCCTGTTCACAAACACAAGCCTCCGCAGCCTCTCCTGGGGATTTTGGGCTACACAAGGCAGCACTGGATACAATTAAGGGATCAGATGCTGCCAGCTCTGTCCACAAGGAGCTTTGTAGGCTGTCCGGAAGGTTTTTCCTGGTGCTGGGGATAAGTCAGTGCCTGTGCCATATGGCCGCTGCTTCCCGCTGATCGGCCAGGAATGCCGAGCTAGAGCAGCAGCTGAGGCAGGAGCGACTGGAGCAGGGGGTCCACGGCAGCAGCACTTGGACATTCAGGTGGAGCCCGAGGTGCAGGGAATTCCACAGGGTGCTCAGGTGAGGCTCACAGAGGCCCATGTTGGGACACCACTTGCCATTCCTGCTCCCCCGACATTTTGGGACAGAGCAGTTACACCCATCGGCTCCCAAACCCCTCAGGGCTCGAGCACAGCCTCACGGAGGTCCCGGGGA